CAGCCCCCACCTAGTGAGTCTCCACCAGTCACCTCTGCCTGGGTGTCACCAACTTCTCAGAGACCCAGCACCCCAACCAGTCCACCCACCTTCTCCTCTGTGTCCCCCACCAATCGTCTTCCAGCCGCGATGGTCACAAGCACCAGCAGTTCACACTCTGCCCCTGGGCTGAGCACAGTCCCCGTGGCTACCAGCCACATGCACACCTCATCCCCTTTCAGCAGCCTCAGCTCCTCTGGGCTGCTCCGCTCCAGTGTCAGCCCCTTCCCTCCATCTCCGGCAAGCCCAGTGTCTCCGTACCCAGGCCTTTCCACCACTTCTCTGTCTCCTGCTAATCTTCCGTATTCCTCTGCCTTTCCCCGGGAGACGTCATCGTCCTCCCCTGCTCCTCCCTCATCCACGTCCTCCTCTCCCTTCCTTTCCTCGCCCTCCAGGCCACCCTCACCCTCTCCCGGGACCACTCCTCAGGCCCCTCTCACCCCCAGCACGGCCCATCCTGCCCCCGTCCCCACAGGGTCGACGACGTCATCCCTCCCCGTGCCTCTTTCTCCCCTTCCTTCTCCTCTGCCTCCGTCCATCTTGCCATCCGTCACGTTGCCTGTCCTGTCTCCCCTGTCCCCTTCCCCGGCCTCCAGCACAGGCTCTCCGTCCACCTCCAGGACCACATCCCGGGTCCCCGTGCCCTCTGCCCTCTCCTCTCAGGCCACCGCCTCCCAGGTCACTGCTCTTACCACCGAGGCCCCTGTGTCTGGCCTGGTGTCCTCCACCTTGGAGACGATCTCCTCCCCACACTCTCCATCCACCAACCTCACCAGCCGGCCCACTGGGACCACGCAGCTGCCCACGTCCACATTCCCGTCCAGCCCAGCTGCTTCCCCCACAACCTCGCCCCCTACCTTGGAGGTGCTGTCCACTCTGAGCCCCTGGGTGTCCTCTCCGGTGACCTCTCCCACCAGCTCTGCAGGTAAGTGGTGTCCTTCCAGCTCTGGACAGCACTGCACCATCTCGCCCCAGGGGTCTCTAACTCCCCTTGTCCCTTACGCCCTGTTCTGCCCTCTCCTGAGCCCAGCTCGGGCCGACCGGGCTTGTCTGCAGGAGTGCCTGCCCCACCCGGCCTCTGCACCTGTTCCTTGCTCCTGGCTCTCTCCTGCCCATGATCTCTGTCCTGCAATCACGACCCCTGCTGGCACTGCCACCTCCCCCAAGCAGCTTTCCCCACTGGGCCCTTGGGGCACTCAGAGCACATGAGGACTGGCAGGGTCCTCAGGCTCAAGGAGTGTCATCTTCCCTGGGAGGTGAGAGGAGGACAGTAGGCGCGGGCTCAGGACAGGCGCCCAGAGCAGGCCGGGCCGGGACAGGCCCTGAGCTCCCCAGTGAGCGCTCACTACAGGCGGCAGCTCCTGCCGGCCCTGCCCAAAGCCTGCCCAGGCCACTGGACACCAGGCTCCTTCCAGGCTTGCTCCGTGTTCCTTGGGGCTGGGCTCCCTCAGCACCTTGAGCTTCCCCAGGCAGGACGCCCCCACATGCCGTCAGGGCAGAGGGCTCCTCACTGCTGGAGATGAGGGCTGGGGAGCTAGCTGTTCCTAGAGAAGTGACCTTGGGGAGCCAGGTACAGAGCAGGACCCGCGGGGGTGCAGAGGGCTTCCCTCTCCACCCTTTGTGGAAGGGCAGGGTAGGCCCCAGTCAGGAGAGACTCACAGAGCAGAATATCATTTCTGCTCCAGGGTCTTTTATTTAACTTTTTGTTACTGGTTAATGAATTTAATTTTGAAGTAGTAGGGATTGAAAACAGGACCCCTGAGCTACATCCTCAGCCCTTTTAAGACAGGTTTCGCTAAACTGCTCAGGCTAGCTTTGCACTTGACATCCTCCTGCCTCAGCCTCTGAGTGCTGGGATTACAGATGCGCACCTGCACACTCAGCTTCTTTTCACCTTTTAACCCAAGTTCCACACTGGCCTTTGCCAGGCCAGTAGTGCCGTCCCCGATTCCACTTGCCCCATCCCGTGCTGCTGCGTGCTGAGGGAGCCCTGGTCCCCACCCTTCCCTTCCAGGAGCATGGAGCAAGAGGCTCCCTGTTCCTTTTCCAAGCTGGGCGGCAGGGAGTCCTCGATGCCATCTGCCCCTCTAGGGATGCGGACGTCCTCTCCCGGGCCCTCATCAGGTCCTGCTGGACCTCGCACCCCGCAGAGCCGGGCTCTGTGCCTGGTTGGCCAGGGGGCATCCTCCTACTCATCATCTGGGCTCCACCCTGCCGGCCTAACTCTGCCCCTCATCCCCAGAGCCATGCAGCGTGCGGGAGCGGGAGCAGGAGATCACCCACCAGGGCTGCACCGCCAACGTGACCCTGGCCCACTGCGAGGGTGCCTGCGCCTCCTCCTCCAGGTAAGCCCAAGCAGCCTGGCAGAGTCCCAGCTGCCACACCACACTCAGCCATGCTGGCCTGCCCTGCCCCAGGGCAACGGTCAACAGGAAGCAGCCTTGGATTCCCTGCCCCAGGCCATCTCACCTGCCCCTCTCTACACTTGGCAGCTTCAACGTCACCACCCAGCAGCTGGATGTCCACTGTGCCTGCTGCAAGCCCCTCAGCTCCTACACACAGGAGGTCCCGCTGCCCTGTCGAGACCCCAGCATGCCCAGCCGGCTGCTCATGCTCACTGTGCGGGTGGCCCACAGCTGTGTGTGTGGGCACCAGCACTGTGGAGACTAGAGGTGCAGGGTCACAGGTCAAAGAACAAGGCCAGGTACCTCTGCCCACACCTCTCTGCCCCCGTCCTGGTCCCAGGTGAGGCCTCAATATCCAGAGCAGAAGCAAGAAGGGGAGACAGGGCTAGCCGGGTAGTGTGGGCACCTGTGCAGGGTGAGCACCAGACACAGCAAAAAACAGAGCATGACAGGAGGTGCAAGATGCTCCTCGTGCCCACAGGACCTGCGCCTTCCAAGGAAGCCACTACTGCCAACAAGCAGATTCCAAATAAACTGATTCTTGTAAGGCAGAGGTCTGTGAGCACTGCTGTCACCGCCACTGGAGCTGTCCCCGGGGGCTGGATGGGGAAGGAGGCCACCTCTGGCCTTGGGACCTGCTGAAGCCCACAGCCCTGGGGCCCTCCCAACCCTCCATGGTCACTCAGGCCCAGCTGAGCAGCGTGCCCCAGGGAAGGAAGCCCTGGGCCGTTTGTTCTGTGCACTAGAACTACAGGCTTCCAGAGGGCAGTGTGGCTCGGGAGTCGAACCCAAGCACGTACTGCAGCAGGCAGCCTGGGGGACACTGGGAAGCCTGGCCAGGTTCCACCATGCCCAGAGTCAGCCTGGGGGACATTGGACAGCCCAGCCATAACCAGCGAGGCCAGGAACATCAGGAAGCGCCAGGCCAGGCCCAGTCAGGCTGGGGACATCAGGAAGCCTAGGCCTGGGGGCTGAGTCACACTGGTGGAACAAAGGCACATCAGTTCCTGAGGTCCCTGTAGCCCACCATCCATGCATCCACCATGTGCTGCAGGACAGGCCTGGTGGGCAGTACAGCATGACACCTGCTGAGTGGACCTGAGGGCGCCACAGGACCCTCCCCCCAAAGACTGCACGCACGCTCTGAGCTCTGTTCTAGTGTTTATTTTCTTCTGGAGAGGAGCACATTGCAAAATGACACCCCACATGCGCAGAGGGCAGGGCTGGGCCCCAGCAGCAGCCCCTTCAATCTGGGGCACTTTCTGATCCAAGACCACCCAGGGACACCTGCAAGGGGTGAATCACAGCCACAAGGCATAGGGCGTCACACCTGCCAGTCAGACCTGACTCTGGCAGACTCACAGGGCCAGGACAGGAGGCTGCACTCTAAAGCCAACAGCACAGGATCCACAGCGTGGGGTGCGGGTAACTGGAGCGGTGCCCGGAGGATGAGGCCAGGAGCCGCTGGCGTGGGTGGCCACGCCTGTGCCTGGAGAACCAGGGCTGACGGTGTCCGGCACGGAGTGTGCTCAGGATGAAGCTGCCCACCTCGTCTGGTCTGCGTGGAGCCCAGGCTAGGTGCACCTCGGGGCAGTGCACGGGCCCAGTGGCCCCAAGGCTCCTGAGGCCACTCCACCCCGCCCGGTGCTCCTGCCTTGCACAAGGATGACTGAGGCTGACAGGCTGCAGCGCGCTCTCGGCACGCCCCCAGGGATGCCGCCTCACCGGGCCCTGTCACTTCCTGTCTGGACTCAGCTTCTCTCCTCCACCCAACTTGAGGTGGGGCTGCACAGGTGAGGGTCTGCAGCACTCAGGCCTGTGACCAACACCAGGGGACCAGGGGACACCATGCTGATGCGTGAGGACTACCAGAGGGAGCCACAAGCATCCCTCAGGACATCTCCACACCCGCATGACCCGAGATCTCAGTGCACTATAGGAATAGCACACTCACTCAAAGGCCAAAAGGGAGCCATGTTCATGTCCTCCAGAGCCACCTGGAGCCCCCCACCCGCCAAAATGCAAGTTTAAGGTCTCTCAAATGGTGAAAACATCACAAATAGCCTTCAAGAAGACTGCTGGAAATGGCCATGTCAATGGAGCAGACACATGGTTTTGCCAAGAGTCATTAAAATACAGATGCTTCCAGCTCCTAGGTTTAAAATCGTGCCCTAGAAAGCATTCAGCGGTGCCACAGCTGGCCACGAGGACACACCACCCAGCCCAGGGTCAGTCCCACACCTCCAGCAACTGGCATTACCCACAGCTTCTGGGACCAGGGGAGGGACAGCGGTACTCAATAAAACCTCAACAAAATTCCCACTTTCATTCAAACTTCTAATTTCCCTTTAATTTGTAGACTGAACCACAGGCTGCCTCGATTTCATGGACCCAGGTCCCCCTTGGACAGGCAGGCCTGCTGTGGTCCCTGTCAATAGCCCCTTTGTGTCCCATCCACGCCCCGGGCCCAGGCTGGAGGTGCAGGTGCTGAGATGCTCCATGGTGCTGTGTGCAGTATGGTCACCAAGAGTGGCAGAAACGCAGGGAAACAACACACACAACCCGACTGCCTGCATGGGGTTAAAACTGCTCCGACAGTAAGTCACATAGCCTCTGGGAAACAGTGTCCTTGCTTGTGCGCAGCGTGAGCCGGTACATCTGCAACAGAGAGCGGAGTCAGGGAGGCCCAGCTGTCACATGCGCCTCCCAGGCAGCTGCCACCCCTAGCCCACCACGCCTGGAGGCTGCCACCATTATGTGGCCAGAAGGGACAGAAACATCCAGAAGCAGCACGGTCTCAGGTGGTGGACAGCATCCACCACCCCACTCTGGAAGGCAGTCTAGCAGCTTCTTAGGAAGCCAACTGTGCACCTGTCCTGAGGAACCAGTTGTGCACTCAGAGGACACATATGCCAGGCCCATCAGGTACACTGTGGCTGGAGCATGTGGCCAGCATGAGGCCAAGCAGGGTGGTGGTCCAGGTAGCTGTACCATGGCAGCACGCAGGCCCTTCCTGAGGAGGAAGCATGGCACATGCGACAGGGCCATGGCCACAGAAGCATCTGCACCAGCGGCACTGAACAAGTCCCTCAGGATCCCCACCTCACCCTGCACAAATCAGTAAAACAGCCTAAGCCCTTCTGTTTCCTTCAGGTATCTGACCTGAGCTTGCAGATTCGGCTCCAAACGCAGCAAGCATCCAATCTGGGTGGTTTTGGTGTGGATGATGCCAGCGCCCACAAAGTTTGCAGGGTTAGGATCAACTTCTTCAAGGAGTGCTGACCCAAATCCGATGATCTACCCAAGAGGAGCTGGATCAGGATGCGGGTACTAGCCGCAGCGTGCGTGCCTTGGTGCCGCCACAGTGCCCGCTGTGACACCGCCACTCACCTTGGCCTTGGTGATCTCTGTGTCCATCGGGTGCTTTGCTTTGAAGATGCTCTGCACTTCCTGCTGAGGACTACAAGCAACAGCACAGGGTCAGTGTTGGGCCATGCGAGCCATGTACACTGCCCTGTCCTGCAGTACCTGCACCCTACCACCTGTGAGGCCCTCTCACTTGCTCAGCTGCTTCCAGCGCTGGAAGAAGTCCTGAGATGCCATCTCCGTGGGCTGGAAGAACTTGTTCAGTGTGATGGGCAGCTTGACGGACACATTCTGGAAGGTGCCGCCGTACCTACAGAGAGTGCCACACTGGCAGAGGGCAGAGCAGCCAGAGACCCGGTGGAGGGACAGGCGGCTCCCACTGAGTCGGTGCGGCTGTACTGTGGCAAGGTCGGAAGTGTCCCAGGGACCAAGCATGTCCTCCATGCACCCCACCAAATGCAGCAGCAGGCAGGCAAGGCAGGCAGGCTGTGGCAGCACGCACAGGGAGGACGAGTGCCTCTCCCAGTCACGCTCCCCACTGCAGGTGAGGACGGAGAAGGCCAGCAGGACACCACAGCTCCTGGCACCACCTCCTGTTCCCACAGGTCGGTTTCCCAGGCACCAAGTCTAAAACCTATGTGGGTTTCCTCCCCGACAAAAAGCCTGAAAAAATTATTTGCTAGGTCCACTGTTTTAACACTTGACAATGTGCTTTCCCAAACATTTGTACTGCACAGTTCCTGACACCCACAGGGCCGTGCTCACTGCCACGGGAGCGGCTTGCAGGCTGTGTTGAGGCTCCGCCAGCTCCAAGGGCCCAACAAGCCCACCAGTGCCACGTGGGACCTAGCATCCCCCCCAGCCTGAGCCACCCAGCCCATCAGCCACACGGCAGCAACCAGGGCCCCGTGGGCCCCTCCTGCCTCATGCTCTGAGCACTGCGGACAACAGCAGTCTATGCCATGTGTGCCCACGTGGCACCGCTGAGGCCCCAGGTAGAGCCAGGGAGTCTCACCTGAACTGGATGTTGAGGACTGGTGCCTCCGTGAAGTCGGACACGCACTCAATGTTGACCACCTGCTGCACCTGTGCACCCCCATCCACAGTCGGGTCCACGGGCTTGGTCTGCAGGTTCAGATGTAGGCACGTTAAGGAGTCCAGCTCAGCCGGGGACAGTGAGACAGCAGGAGCCATGATGTGGCAGCGCATGTCCATGCCACGCCCTGTTGAGACAGCTGCTCGATGCAGCCCTCAGCCCTCTGCTCTGTCCTGCAGCCCACGGGCATCACGCCTGACCCTGCTGCTGGGCCGGGCTTCCCGGAGGCCTCGGCATGCTGGCTGCTGTGGTCTGCATGAGGAGAAGCCTGCACTCACTGCCTCAGTAAACAACCAAGTTCCAGGACCCTGACCCTCTGCTGGGGGCTGCTCCCGACTGCTGTGTGCATGCAGTACAGGGCTTCTCTACAGCCACTCCTGAAAAATGAGCCACAGCAGCAGGGCAAGTGGCACACACTTGACATCCTATCACTTGGGAGGCTGAGGCAGGAGGATCACCACGAGTGCAAGGCCAGACTGCACTACATAGCCAAAGTCTGCCTTGGAAAGAGAGAGGGAGAAAGGAAAGGAAAGAGAAGAGAAGTGAAAAAAAGAGAAACAACCTACAGAATCAAGGCCGGACTGTGGAGGTGGGCAGGGAACAGCTGCTCTGCCCTCTGGACCCGGCACCCACGAGCCACAGGGTGCAGGGGCCAGGGTGCCCACGTTCCCAGAAGCCCAGGGAAGGGACGTTCAGAGGCTACTGGGGGGCGGGTACACTTAGGCCCCTGACCGTGGACAGAGCCTTTAACACGTACGCTATGCCCGCCTGCTGTCTCGATGCTCCACGTGGGAACGTGTTCTCCATGGCATGGATGCGCATCTGCCTGTGAGAAGTTCACTGCTCCACACGCCTGACCATGGGCCCACAGGAAGTGTCACCTCCCGCAGAGTCCTCACCACTGCTCAGTGCAGCTGTCCCCGGGAGGCAGCCCCTGGCAGCGACAGGGGTGCTCTTCCCTCCCAGCTGGGCCCTCTAATGAACCCCACAGACTGAAGGAGCGGCGGCACCCCAGTGTGAGCACAGCATACAGCAGCCACCCAGACCACGTACTTGCCCAGACAGCACCACGTGCGCCCCGCCTTCAGCAAAAGCAGCCACACCTGCAGGACTTCGAAGGACAGGGAGCAGCAGGGCTCCCGAGTAACAACATCCGGGAGAACAAAAGGAGCGGAGAGGAAGCAACTCACACCAGCAAGAAGGCGACACGCGTGTGTACCGCGGTGGAGCCGTCACCGAAGTCAGCTCCCAGGTAGGGACGGGCATTTGACTGCCGCAGTACCTGGGAAGATCCTGCCCCTGTGACTAAACCAGCCTCCCTCCAAGTCCCAGGTCGCAGTCTGCCCTGTGACTGTCTGTCTGTCCATCTGTCCCATCTGTCTGGGGGCAGAGCTAAGGATATTAGCCTGAAGGTCATCTGCACAGATCAGCGTTGGAGTGAAGTTTAAGAACTGCGTCGAAGTCTTGTTACCATAAAATATGAACATTCGGCCTGGAAGGAAACAGAACAACTCTTCACACACTGCACACTCGTGCTGAACACTCACATGAACACTGCGTCCCCTGCATCCCAGTTGCACTTAACTGTCGTGACCTATGACTGCTGTTAAATTA